CTCCTGCAACCACTACCGATTCCGAGATAGAAGTGGGAGGAAGTCACGATGGATTTCGTTACGGGATTACCGAGGTCGTCTGAACATCACGACGCTATTTGGGTCGTGGTCGACAGATTGACTAAAGTCGCACATTTCTTACCCGTTTCGATGAAGATGTCTCTGGACAAGTTGGCTGAGATATATACCCGTGGGATCATTCGACTCCACGGAGTGCCCGTCACCATTGTACCAGACAAAGATCCCAGATTCGTCAGCAGATTCTGGCAAAGCTTACATGAGGCGATGGGCACGAAGCTAGAGTTTAGTTCAGCCTACCATCCGGAGACAGACGGTCAGTCAGAGCGGACTATTCAGACACTTGAGGATATGCTTCACGCTTTGGTTGTTGACAGGGGGTGCTAAGTGGGAGTCGTTGTTGCCATACGCAGAGTTCGCGTATAACAACAGCTACCATTCTTCTATTCAGATGGCTCCTTACGAGGCACTTTACGGTCGCAAGTGTCGTTCCCCTCTTTATTGGGACGACGTCGGAGATCGACGAGTACTCGGTCCTAAGTTGATCGAGGAGACGGCAGATCAGGTCGAGTTGATCCGGCAGAGACTTAAGACAGCTCAGAGTCGACAGAAATCTTCCGCCGATCATCATCGACGAGACATTCAGTTCGAGGTTGGCGAGCCAGCTTTCCTCAAAGTTCGTCCGATTCGTGGAGTCGTTCGATTTGGAAAGAGAGGGAAGCTGCACCCTCGATTCATCGGTCCGTTCGAGGTTCTCGAATGAGTAGGCGAGGTCGCGTATCGTTTAGCCCTACTTCCCGAGTTATCAGGCATTCATAATGTTTTCCACGCATCTATGTTACGTAAGTACGTGTGCGACCCCGATCATGTCATTCCTCATACGGATATTCAGGTTCAGCCGGATCTATCGTACGAGGAGCGACCGATAGTCGTACTAGACCGTCAGGTTCGTCGGCTCCGAAAGCAAGATATTTCCCTCGTGCGTATCCAGTGGGATCGCCACGGAGCTACTTGGGAGGAGGAGTCCGATATTCGCGCTCGTTTCCCAGATTTTCAGTTTTGATGTACATATTCCTTTATCCTATGTACATAATTCATGTATTATCAGAATGTTTTAAATTTACGAGGACGAAAATTTTGTAAGGAGGAAGGATTGTAATATCCCGATATTTTATCAGTATAAATTATGTTTTAGTTCCGATATAATAATGTTATCAATTATTATTTTCGGAATTAATTATTTTCAGTCGAGATTACCGAAATTTATTTTCGACGTACCGTTTACGTTCGGAATAATTTTGGTAATTAAGTATTATGTTTAATTAAAATAATTAAACATGAGAAAGGATTAATTAGCCATTAATTATAACTTAATGGCATAAAAGCCGTACGGAAGTGTAGGCTTCCCAATTTTAAGAACATTTCCTAAGTCTTAAGAAATATGTTTTCCCTTCTATTTTAAGTCTTGGAAACGTGGAATTAGGAGGGTAATTGTGGATGACTAATCCATCTTAAGCCATAGCTAACTAGCAAATGTCAAGCAAACATATGGCCACGTCCAACTCTTGTCATCACCATCCCTCGGCCTTCTCTATTTATGTGATGACGAGTTTGGGAAAAATTGCCCAAATCAAAGCCTTATGTTCGTAGTCTTCCGTCCCTAAATTTAGTACCAAATAACTTAGCATATTATCATAAGACTTCCATACTCATCGCACGGTGAGCTTCCGCACGGCAAGTTAGAGCATAATACGCACGCACGCACAAGGTCACGTTCGCGGAGCTAAGGAAATCACGCTTACCTTGCGTCATTAGCCGAACGTTTGAAGAGGTAACTTCCTCCTCATCTTATAATCTTGTTAGTAAGGCCATAATAAGGTTAAGAGTTCGATTTAAATTCAGAAATTCTGAGAAAATTCATGTTGTATTCGGTTAGGTCATATTTAAGACAAATACCGAGTTATTTCCATTTTACTCCGGCAAGTCCCAAGTGTTTATTGTTTCGTCAGCCATTATTTAGTGTATCATGTTCAGTCAGGTGGGAATTGGTGAGTAAAGTAGATGTTCGGTCGAGAATTTGGCCTTAAGCCAAGGACCGCACGTGGTGTGCGCGTCACGGCCGCACCGTGTTATCCTTCATTATTGTCAAGTTTGTTCGAACAGTTAATGTTTAAATGATCAAGTTAGGTCATTTTATGTTCAGTTGGCTCATGTTGTTC